AAATGTGGATTTTTGTTGCTCAAACACGCCAAATTGCCTGAACGGATCTGGATGAAATTTTGTATTACAGTCTGGAATAGCATATAGCCTGCCTTTTATCCCAGGAAAATAACTCTTAAATATCTATTTCACGACCGACATCCCAAACGGCTTAATGGGATTTGACATCAGACGTTTTGCGCGGTAGCGTTCAGTCGCTGGTCCAACCGAAATGAGTAAGAGTATATAAATAGGACATTTGCTGCATGTCGAGTCTTTTACTTAGCCAGACCGTTTCGTTTTAGATTATTTGGTGTTTTGTTTTACTTCAAGTATCATACTATGAATAAATACTTGTTATACAATGTTTAATGATACCCGGCGTAACACTTATCTGTTATCTAGCAAACTCTAATGCTACATGGTCCGGTATCTTCTTCTCTACATATAAATGTGATTGTCTATCCAGTGTGTCAGCATCAAGCCTTAGCGACAAAAAAATGAGTTGTAAAAATGCGTACACTTACTAATGAAGGTGTTAGGCATAGTTTTATCCACCACCTCACCGTCGATTTTAAAATCAACTGACATGTGAAGTACCAAAAACTCCACCGTCAGCGTCAAGCTGGCAACAGCGCGGTCGGCTATCGCCCAACTCAACCTGTGACCGTCAAGCGATGCAGTTTTATTTTGCACTAGTTATTACCCGTAACCTGCAACTGTTAGTAATACAAATCATTATTTTTAGGTATTGTTATTAACCTCCGATCACGTTTTGTATCTTTGATGGCATTAGTAAATTGACAACCAACTTGCATGCTTATGAAATTTTGGTAACTTTATTAGTGGTGCCACCTTCACGTTCCGCGGGTAAAACTGCGGGGCAGAAAGCTAGGAGCCTATATTTCATGAATCAACGTCCAGATTGAAAAGAGTGCCAAAGATTGGGAAAATAAAAAAGTGCAAGTGCCACTGAACAAACTAAAAACAGCGACACGTCGATAAACCAGATATAAAGCTTTGGTATATAAGTGAAGTTATATAAATTAGGTTTAACAATAGCGGAATTTTTCTGAGACCTTTTTAATAGTCAAATCCATGCTGAGGTTGTATTATGCCACCTACTTTATATGATCATCTTCAAGAAAATTCGTTACAGCCAATTATCAGTTAAACAAAGTACGTATATATAATGTGGAAGTTGCAGTTCTGAATTGATTTGATTATTCAAAAACTGATCTCGTCCCTTCAAAGATTCAAAATAGTTATTTATTAAGTGATAAACAGCGCAGTGCATGTTTGTTCCACTTTTTCTACGATTGCGTTGCGATACTTATGTTTCTATCACCTTTTTGGTACTACTCTCTTTAGGAATTTCACAAAATAACTTCATACCAAGCAAATTTACAGTCTCTAACTTTTTCAAAAAAACGACAATGTTTATTTTTTTGTTTTTGGCCTTTTTTCCCCACCACTCGGGTTTCAAAAACTACGGAGTGATAGTAATCTTGTGTGAAAATTTCATCCAAATCCAAGCAGTACCTTCCAAGTTATAGAGAGGCCAAGGATTACCGGACAGACAGACAAATTGACAGACCGACGGAACTGAGTGAAATGGTTTTTCGTTGTGTACATGTCATATAGTACCCAAATGACAAATCTCATATTCGAAATTGTTCATGAAATTACAATGAAAAAATAAACTTGCCCAATGGCGTAGTAAGTGAAAACGTATGTCTGTGAGCTTTCACGAACGTCTACGCATATAAGCCCATTGCATATGTATATATGGAAGAAATGCATGTATGGAAGTTTGGGGTTGGCATGGAACAATGTTGAATGTCGCAAGCAGATCTCCACTTGTAACTTAGAATGTAACTGTGAGCAAATAATAAAGACACATGCTACTATTCCGATAGTCTTACTTTGGCCTGTCAAAAACCGCAAAAAGACCTCGATTCATCGTCAGAAAATGCAGTTAATAAATGGAATGAAACTACTTAGAAATATACCGGGCAATTTCGTACGTTAGGATTGATTTGGTTTGGAATGGCCGTTTGGACCAGTGGTAATAAAGAATTTAGTTATAATCTAATATGATCAATTTAAGACCTTTTGCAGTAAAAGTAAAGATACATCCCCATGTACACACCCCTGTCTTCGACGTAATAAACCGCAATAAAAAACCTCCGCGCCGCTAGCTTCGTTTCATAAGTAACAATTGAAAGAACTCAACAATGGCTGATTTGCATTTATCCCTTAATTTAAAACAATCGAATGTCGGGCGGCAGGCGACTACGACCCTTTTATTATAGCTCCAGTTTTTTTCTCTAAAGGCTGACCGGACGCCCTGAATTCATGAAATCCGGCTTCAGCGTTCCCTACGACCGACCGGGATCGCCCGGGCGAGTATGTGTCGAGAATTCATTAAAGAATTTTTTATTTCTTCATTTCCGGTTTTGCAAAACTCCCGTTATCCCTCCGCTATTAGGCATTGTGTATAAAGCCCTCCAGCTTAGCATCGGAAAATTTTGCTGCAGACTGGGATACTTGCTGAACGTACACTTGAATAATCATTTTTTTTATTCTCTATGTCTTATATGTTTCTATGAAATACCTATTTTCACCTAAAGCTAAAGTTATCCGAGTCAGGAAACTACCAAATAACAACTGGCTCACATATATACTCAGTGACATTAGAAGTGTTACACACAGAAAAAATAATGTCTTCAACTTGTTTTGTTGGCAACATAATGACTATATTTAAAGCATGCTGTAACAACAATATCAACGTTTAATCTTTTTCTTTGTTTACTTTTGTTAAAATGTTATCTCTTAGTTTTTGTGAAGAAAGCAGTTTCTGAGAGCTGAGTAGTACAGATATTTTTAGTTATTGCCCTTTCATTTACTAGTGTTAAGCATAACAAAATGGCTCGAGATCGAAGACTTCCAAATTATCACCATGTCAACGACCTTGACAGGGGTAGAATTATTGCCTTTCGAGATGTTGGTTTGTTCTATCGCGAAATTGGACGCCGCACATACGGGTATTTGAATTAAAAATCCGGACAAAACTTTTTTTTCATTTTAAGTTACTGAAAAACTGTAATCAGCTCTGTTATGGTTAATAATGCTACAAAGAACAGCAGGTAAAGAAATAAAATGATTATAGTTAAAAAACGTGAAAATATTTATTGAAAAAATATTAAAAATGTTATTAAGAAGATAACAACCAAGAATCATCTAAGTAGTCTCCTATCTCTGGTGCAGAGTCTTCATCATCATCATTATCACCAGACAAATTAGACTGGCCCATCGGTTCTGCAGGCAGGAGCATTTCAACAGTTTTCTTGAGAAACGGTTTTGTCATTTTTATGGGAGTAGGTCTCATGCCAGTTACCAGGTGATCCGAGCTCAATAATAATCTATTTATGATATCAAGATTGCAAGACTCTCTGCTGAACTTCCGAGTATAATTTTGGCGGTATAACCGAAAGTGTTTATTGCTAGCCTCTGCGGCCTCTTCTGACATCATTCCTATACGCAATAAAGTTTTTTCAATGACAATGGGGCCATGGAGCACTATTTTGTCAACAGTTGGTGTCATTGGATGTCACGAATATAATTCAACGTATAGTTGTGCCGTGTCCAAACAAAATATTTCGAATTTCTGTTTGTCTATTTTATGGCCGCTTGATATCGCTTCTAAAATTACTTTAAGACAAACAAGGAGATGGGAATCCAAACCGGTTATTGTTGCTGATGGCTCATGATCCGTAAAAAATCTCCTACTCGTATTCCCAGCATTGCTGCTTCCGAAACTAGCTTTTGGAACATCAACTATAAGTTCCATTTGGAATCTAAATCCCTTTTGTATCTCCAGATTCCTTTGTTGAACTATTTGTTTACCTCTTTCACTTCTTAATTGCTATTTCTTGCTATTCTGGCATGCAAAATTGATAAGCCAAATTTTGAGGAATCTTCATTACCAGGACGTTTGTTTGATAAATCGTTGAAGTCTTTCGATGTAGCACCGCAAATATAGCATTTCACGTGGATTTTGTGTTGGTTGAGGCATTACACACTTTCGCATCAACCTTTGCGAGCATCATTACATGTTTTACTAGAAAGCTTTTGTTTAATTGCGCGACCTGTGTCGGTTCCAAAGACTTTATTTTATTCGTGGCGAAGAAGGCAACTGTAACGGAACAAATGAACTTTGCATCAGAATCGAAGATATTTTCAAATTTTTTATTAAATGATGTCTGCTGTGACCCATCACATCTCCATTTATATGTCAAATTAGCGTGTTTCTTCACTATTCAAATTTTTTGCCCGGGTTGGAGATTGCATTAGGTCTTTTATCACCTTTCAAGCATCAGTCTTGTACTCAGAACGTAACTTCGTATGAGTGGTAAAAGTCAACTCTTCAGAGCTTATTTTACCACGGAATGCTTCTGTTTTTCGTCTTTTACTTTGCTCGCTAATATTACTAAAAGATTTCTGTGGGCGCCCTGGTCGTGATTTTGTTTGTGGAATTTCAAATGTCATTTGGAGCCAAAGATTATTTCTTTTAAGGAAAAGATCTTCTATGTAATGTGCGGCAATCTGATTTTAGATTTGACAATTTGTGTATAAGTTTTTTTCGTTGTTCTTCTGAATAATTTTGAGAATTCAACAATAAAGATTCAGCATAGTCCAATTTTTTGTTAATGTTGGGATACCCTTGCATAATGTCGTAAAATTTGTTTCTAGTAATGATCTTGACTCCAGAGGGCCCTCTAAAGAAAGAAAAGAAATGGCTCAAATGAACGTTCATCTTTTATTTGGCGATTATACCGAAATCTGGATGAAGTTGGAAACATTTTCTGTCGATATGATTAGCCAAGATCTAATTATATAATATGAGACCAAAATCATAACCGAGATACATCCAGAAATTCATCAAAACCATTCGAGTTTGATTAATATCAAAGGCAAAAATGATTGGAACATAGATTTCGCAAAAACGTAATTTTTTCTCATAAATCAGCTAATATTACAATTAAAATGGACAAAATAGGTTGTACGAGTACATACCTGCCTCAGAAACATCCATGTTGAAAAACTGGTACACGATTCGGAATAACTTGCAAAAACTTTGAAATATTGTCGTCACAATAAATACCGCTAAGAACAGATACGTGAGCAATGAAGAATGATCAAATTCGCACCGAGACTACTGGCGAGAGGAGTGGGTAAACAAAAAAGTGTGGGGCTTTTACTAGCATCTGTTCCGGCATCTTTAGGCACATACCAGTTTTACGATACGAACTAATCTGTAGAATTGAATTTTGTCCGAATTTTTAATTCAAATACCCGTATGTGCGCCGTGTTAATTGTACTGCAATGACGGTAACGTGTGTGTGTCGTGTATGGATAGAAGAAGGCAGAGGAACATGAAGAAGGTCAACCTAGGCGTATCACAGAGCGTCAAGATAGGCGCTTCAGACAACTAGCCCTACGAGACCGTTTTGCTACGACGCGTCAGATCGCTAACCAATGGTTTAGACCTGTAACTATGCTCACACTCTATCGCCGCATTCGAGCCTTTGGACTTTTTTCATACCGTCCACGGTTAGTGCTTCCTCTGACTGCGGACCACTGTCGTCTACGTTTGAACTGGAGCAGAAAACGGTAACATTGGGAGACAGAATAGCATAATATCATCGTCAGCGCCGAATCGCGAATCTGTCTAGTTACGCACGATGGTCGTAGAAAGGTAAGATGCAGCCATAGAGAACGGCGTGATATTGGATTTGCTGTTGAGTGGCATGTACACATGCCTGGAGTAATGGTTTGGGGGTAGCCGATCACTCCTTCTCTTTGTTCAATTCAATATGACTGTTGCGCGTTATGTTGATGATGATCTACAAACCACTTCACTGCCGTATCAAGACAACGCACGTCCCCATATTGCTCGTCGTACTACGGACTTTCTTCAAGAAGCAGGCGTTAATGTTTTACTGTCACCGGATTTAAATTCTATCGAACATGTGTGGGATATGATGGGGAGGAGACTATCCAGTTTGCACCATCCGCCATAGACTCTGCCACAGCTAATCCACGAAGTTCTAGTTGCTTGGAATGAGGTGCCACAACCAGAAATCGATTATCTCATTATGTCGATGCCTAGATTATCGTTTCATATATATATCATATATAGTGTCATCGTTTTCTGGGTATAACACTTCCAATGTCACTGAGTATATTATAGAGCAAATGTCGAAAGTAGTAATTTTAAATCAAGTGACTTTTAAATCTTTTGAGATATTTTCCAATTTCAGGGTTCGAAAAAGACAATTTAATACGATATTCGGAAAGTAAGGGGTTTTATTTACTTAATCAATAAATTACTTAATTTTTGATCAATGAATTAGTTAATACGGATGCTCACATATAGAAACCATCTCTCTCCCAGATAAAAGTACAAGTAGAAGAAGAAGCAGGAGAAAAATGGTGACAAGTAGACTGTCTATATACTTCTCACGCGTTCAAATTCGCAAATTTCAGAGCAAAACTTGATTCAATACCTGTTTCAAACTATACAGGGTGTTCGGAAGGTCGATGCCACGGTTTTGAGAGGTAATATAATACATCTGGTACAAAGTCGAACCACTTTTGAGTTACGCGCAGATTTTTTTGTGTTTCGTGGCTTTTCGAGTGTATAGAGATAGAAAAAATTGACAACAAGCGTAAAATCATTGAAAAAACTTCACATGCTTCTGTCCTTGCATGCATGTTTTTTTATCAATGAAATTGTTATTTCTTACGCATGTTCACAGTACCATGTAGCTTTTCTGAAGATTCACTGGGATATGGAAACTGCGCAAATTCAAAATATTGCAAAAACATGAAATTTAATACACAGAAATATAGACCCCAGAAGTACAATACAGTGGTAGACTATATATCGTTATATTGTAATAAAGCCGCCTACCAAAAATGCTGAGCCATGAGAATTGCATTAGAAAATAAAGTGCACTATTGTACATTTTCACTACTACCTACTTATACACACTTTATCCTTACTGTTTCTGGAAGATCCCCAAAAAGTTACGAATTCATCGGAAGGCAAGAAGCCTATTCAATACTTTAACGTCCGAATGACACGACTATTGAAAAATGGTGTACCTATTACTGAGCACATCGCACGCAACCAATAGCGTTCTGTTATGTATAACAAAAAATTTCAATGACTCAGGTCAGTCCTCATGCTCTGACACCCGATCCCCCCCCTGTATTTATTACATTTTACATTTTGAAAAAGCATATAATTTGTTTTGTCCTTCCCGTATAATAAACTTATTTCACCACACGCAAGGCATGAAATCATAAGTACTAGTATGTATGTCGGTAGTGTCAGTCTATTTCGGTTTTGAGTCTGATACCTCTATGTAAGCAATCGAGTCACCTCTGGTGCAAGCAACTGTCACCAGATATGCATAAGGACAATGGAAAAAATATACTTTTCCTTCATTCATATTTTGAAAAGGCCACAACTCACCGGTCCATCGAGGTTTTTTCCGCCATATTTCATGTACAACATTATACAAGGCATTATATCAGAGAACTAAGTACACAATTATTCAGGAAATATTGGTAAATTACGACGCGGCAGGCAGCGATATCGAGGGGTAGACTAATGTCTTTCGTTCAGCTTTTTACTGCCTCCGAGGCCGACCGCTTGGAAAATTGAATGATTTTTTAAATCGGCCTCGCTCCGAAACAAATGCTCGGATCGAATGAGGAATGGGTAATTTTTCCTCGGTATGCAAATTTATATCCATTTGTTTCAGAAGTTATGCACACTTCTTATCGTTCCAATTTCCAGGCATCTATCTGGTTCCTATTAAATGAAAAAGAAGTCGCTTCGTATTTTCGGAGCCACAATACATTCTCATACATACAATACCAAATCATCATCGTTGCAACAATATGGATTGTGAATCCCTTCTTTTTGCTGACAGTCAAGACCAATGGAACTAAGTCAGACAAAATACTCAAAAATGATATTTTTTATTTTTTGAGGTTTTCGCACTTCATCGCTTTGGCACATTCTTATAATTTTTCATTATTTAATTTAAAATTTGAAAAACAGATATCAAACCCGTAGTTCACAAAACTACTATTTTAGAGGCTGTTACCCTGGCTATATCTTTTCATACGGAGGAAAGCTACAAAGTGCCGATTTATACTAATATTTCCTAAAATTATCAGTTTCACTTTCAGAACATGACGGTAGGAAGTCATACAAATTTTTACGTAAACAAAATTCCACTGCCCTATCCGTCAAAAACAAGAATTATATTCATCAGCTTGTCCAACCAGCTGTCAAAATTCCGTGAATGGTAACAATATTTTCACACCTTTGCATTCTTCTTGTCTGCAAATGTCTACTTTGACGTAACATTTACACACCAAACATACCTAGATAATACACATTCCGCGTAACCAACTAGTTAGCCAAATAACATCCACCAGGTCTTAGACTATAACAGCGTAACCCAGACATCCGTCGTGTGCGCCGAGCGCGCCGCTTGCATTTGTCAGATAAGTGAGGTTATGTTAAACACACTAAACACAAACACAAAAAGAGTATCTCAAAAGTAAAACTCACCTGATGGATAACGTTATCACCTTCCCGGCTCCTGGCGGCTTTGATATTCAAGCTTAATATGCAGTTGTCTTGGAAATCCCAGGTAAAGAGAATGCTATCGTGCACAACAACTAGGTTTTCAGCTTTCGTGAGGTTTTTAGGCAATGTCTCTTTCAGTTCCTTGAATATTTTGTGTTCGCCTAAGCGTAAATAGTCTGTGGCACTCATTTTCACTTCAAAATACCGAACACTTCGCGAAAGATTTGTTAAAAATGCGGAATACGAAACGGAATCGCCGAAACGACTTCAGGGTAACAGCTGATTTATTGCGACGTTGCCGCGTCAGTCTTCCTCTTGTCTGCAACCAGCTGAAGCCGCATGGGAAAGTTTGTTCATTTAATTATACAACAATAAATAAATAATGCATACGTACGGTTGGCTCATATAGAAGGTGTATTAGAATCAGTGGATCATCCACTAAAAATAGTACCACTGAGATATGCGATAAGAAATGCCATATTCGTATGCGATAATGTATAATAGGTATAGGTATATACTTCACAGCTAGTTCTTTTTTTATATCGAAGCAGCCGCGCAGGCAGAAGCCTAAATGCTGGAACCCCGCGGCTGCTATGATGATCCCAAAGAAATTTTGTTAATACGATTTTTGAACTGCCTAAGGTTAATAGAACTGGGAAAAGCTTCCTCTTGTAGATTGTTCCACAATTTCGACACCCTCGCGAAAAAGGAGCGGTCGTATCGGCCAGTTCTGGATGTACGATGTTCGACACGGTTAGGATGGGACGCCAAAGTCAGACGGGTCTGTCTGGCAGGCTCATCGCGCGACGGCATCATGGAAGAGAGCTCTGAGGAGCAAAGCCCGTTGGTGTAACGGTAGAAAAGAGCTAGATCGCCGACAGCCCGACGGTGCGAAAGAGTCCCGAGACTGTCTGTTAGAGAAGAGTCATCCATCAGTCGGACCGCCCTCCTCTGGACAGCAATTTCGACACCTTTAGTTACCCTTGTAAGAATCATAAAAAATCCTCAATGCTGTGTATTCGAAACATATTCGACAAGTAAACATTTTTCCATTTTGCGCCCCAGTCAAGCTATTGCCCGCTCCCTTCCCTTCCCAATACTGTTGCAACAAAACTATATTAAGTTTAAGCATGAATAAAATAAATTATATTTAACTATTTACAACAAACAACAAAATTTACATACATTTCGAGTCAAATTAAAGTCTAGATTGCAGGTATTTTTTTTCTTAGTCCAGCACATTACGTAGTACCTACCTAGTTTGAGTAGTCGGGCATTATTTGGCGAACTTTTATAACCTCAGGGCGAAGAATATAATATTTGAGTCCACAAGTGGCCTCTATAGCACAAAATATTTGATTCTGATCACAATCATGACGTTTCCAACTCATATACATACATACATATCTCCCTTCTGTGTTAAACTGACAAACTCAAATTATTGAATGCAACGGACAGCTAATTTTTGGTTTCGATTGCTCCATCCAAGGGGAGAAGGTACAAATAGTTTGTATTTTTTAACATTATAAGCAGTTTTCAAACATTATTTCGGTTATTGGGGTATTTACAGGAGAACTACACATAAGGGTCTATACTCAAAATCACCTATTTCTCGATTGATCTAAAACATTTCTAAATGTAGAGTTCAGTTCTGGAACTGAAACAATGGAATTGACATGATACAATTTCAACTGGCATTATTATTTTCGTAGGTGTTTCTTTATTTTCATTATTTACCCAGTGAGAGAAATGCTACTTCTCAATTAGGCATTGAGGACAGTCATGGTGATTTCAACATTTGGTTTTCAGAGTAAATCCATCATATATTTATTTATGTAACAGTTATAGTTATTTTACCATTATCATAATACGATAATTCCATAATTTATAATTCAGTAGAACAATCGTACGAAATTGTACGTGTACTCAATAAGAGATGATATAAACGGCTAGCTATGACAACGTCGCGACTGGGCTTTTCTTGGGGTTGAAGTTTGCGCAAGTCCTATACGAGGGGTGGTGAAAATGTTTATCGTTTTGGTATTCCTATTATCCCAAGGGCCCATTCTTTGAGCAAGAGATACAGGAACGTCAAAAAAATCGTTCTTGAAATGTTGACGGTCTTTTAGGATTCACGTATTACTATTTTTTATGTCTCCTAAAAATGGGTCTGTTAATTTTAAGGAAATGTGAAGTTGGATGCTTCTTACGGTTAATGCCACTTTTGATTCGATATAAGATGGACCTAGTATGTCGATCAAGTTTCAAGAGAATATACATGAAGGTAGAAATGTGTTAGGTGATAAAGAAATGGATAAGGTCAATCAAACCGGGAATATATTCTTAAGAAATAGTTTAAATATTAAACTCGCCCCCCCTGAATGAGTTACTCTGAAAAATCTGACTTTTTTGCTATTCTACACATTAGGATACCTCTCAGGTAGCAAGCACGGATGGATTTACAAATAATGTAATTTAGAAAACGGGAAAAATTTGAGAAAAAAGGCTCTTATAGCGCAAGAATATTCAATAGTTGATATAATGGATACTGTCTTCTATAAATACGAACATATGCTTTTTGTTCAAAGCCTCTATAAGGAAGGAGGGCAATTTCTCTTCTCTTAAAGGTCTACAAACCGGCCTCGATTTGTGGACCTTTAAATATTTACTAAAGATTAAAACACCCCACAGTTTACATCTTCGAACTTAACTTTTCGATATAGGCATTCAGCGGTTATTTACTGGGAAAGTAGCAGAGAGTAATTGAGTTCCAGTGATCTATGTCACTAAGGGCATGAGAAATACAATGTTGCCATAATGGTAATATTTGGTTTACGAGATTCATTGAAACATCAAAAGTTTGTAAGGTTAACGTAACTATTTAAACAACTTGATGGATTTAATATTGAGGCCCTAAAAAAATAAAGGCTGATTAAAAGATCCAGAACAGGACAGTGTCGATGTTTCTTTGTATTTTGAAGTTAAGATTTGCTACATGCATGCGAAATAATTGTAAAGGAACTATAAAACTACATGATTTTAAAATTATTTATATTACTCAGTGGATAAGGGTAATAACACTGGCGTAGTACGTAGGAATTTTTTAAAGAGTCGGCCGATTTTTGCGTGCGGAGGGTATGAAGTATTTCCAGAGGTTCAGGCAAAGAAAAAATTTGAATGCTCAACACAAAGACCATCGTAAATACAAACTTTAAAATTTGTAGAAATTTTCATAGAGACCACAACTCCCCTTGTGCTTATATATAATGGCCTGGTTGCATCAATGTTCTTTATGCAGCTTCTGAAAAAAAATCAGTAACACGATAATTTCAAATGGAAACAGTTATTTGAAATCTACTAAGTTTTTCTCCTTTTAATACTCTTCCTCATTCTTTACTTTGGGGCGCTGTAAAACAAATGTTCAAGGAACTCAAACATTTTGAAACGAGTGGTATCGCTTTTCAAGTTGCGGATATCACACTGAGAAAATGTGGTCAATTAAGAGTTTTTCTGAAAAAAAATCATTTCCCGAAATGATTTTTTCAATTATTCTAAGAAACTAAATTATTCGGTGTAAGAACTGATTTTTTTGTAACCAGTTTAATTAAAATTAATACACTATTACACTAATTTGCTTAAAAGCAGCAAACCATGTACCTGTTTTACTAAGATGTTACATCAGTTTAGCTAATTTAGTCTATTTAGAAAATGTACATTTAAAACAATTAATGATAATTCAAATTTTGTTACAATTGCTCATTTCGGAAGTTTTTATTTTCAATCGAAGATATCAATCATCAGTATCAAGCTTTAAAAAGTGTTGATATGTTAGATTTCTCAGAACATAGTTACAATAAATATCAATCAGTAAAATGCAAGTTTTGCTTTTAAATTCCGAATATGATCATAATTTCTAAATTAAATAAAATGGTTCGTTAAAACTAAGCGTATAATTTTACCTAGACTAATAGAACTAATTTAATAAATATAATTAAATTGTCTTACCTGGAGCAGGTAAACTCATTTTAACGGTTCATTAATCTTAAATAAATTAGTGTATTCAATCCAAATAAACGGTTGAATAAATTCAATTAGTTGACCTCGTTTTGATTCAATTACACGAGTTTCATAGATTTAAGTAGTTAATAGCTAATTAGGTTTTTTAATTGGCTTATTAAAATTTTACATGTTTTAATACATTTTTTTCTCAATGCACCAATGCGTGAATTTGTGTACATTCAAAAGCTAAATATGTACAGGTTTCATTATTTTTCTAATTAAAAATTAAGACTCATTATTAACAGCTGCACTGAGTACGGACTGACAAGCAGGATATTAAGGAATTACTCCAAGGACATGGCAACGTTGCACAGCAGCATGCTTCTTCAAATTCCCAATCCGATTTTACGAACCGCCGTCTTTCGTTTGTTTTATCAAAGCCTACTGGGAGTACAATTGATATTCCAAACACAAAAGGTTTTACGACTCGTCGCACCGACTAAAAGAGCTTGTATCAATATTTCCTTTGATAACTCCCAACGTTTCCATCGATATTCGCTCGCTCTCCACAATCTTCGTTTGTTTTGTTTAAAGTCGCATGAGGGATTTGCGGAGTTGTAGGGAGTAGGAAGGAAGAAGGTATAATATTTTAATGATGATTCTTCACTTTGCAACCAAAGATTAAATAGGTATACTAAAAAAAAAGAATATCCATTAACAATGAATTTATTACAAATATTTTCAAGGCATATGTTTGTTTAGGTTAGGACAAAGAATGACTTTTCAACTGATCGCCGCCTTTTGGCTTCTCGTCCACAAGGTCAATTGCTGACCAATGGCCTGGAGGACATGGAGATCATACTATAATACTAATTATTTATCTCCGGTCTAACAGGTTTGGACCTACTTCATACCGTCCTCAATTTGTCCTACCTTTTACTCATAGTCTCTGAAATGGTCGATTGTTTTGTTAAAATTAGTGATGTTTAAGGGTGAAAAGGCGATGAGGTGAAAGACGAAATTCTCAATTTTCGTTGGAAACGTATGTGCTCCATACTGTTAGAATTATGGTATCGGAGGTAGGTCACTTTTGGTGTTCATCATCTAAGCAAATTTGATCGCTTGAATTTTAAAACCAATCCACAGCTTTCGCTTGAAAAAATAAAAGGAATTTCTCGGCATGATCATAAAAATATCGTTAGGTAATACGACAATAATATCATGCAAATAAATAGCTTTTATCTTTTTACGTGAGAACCGTGCGACGGACTAAAGAAATTAAAAAATTAAAAAACATTGAAAAATGACAGACTTCATTCAAATATCTGGAA